CCACAGGTGACACGTAGACCGATTGCGTCTAACTTAGCGCTGCGCCACATATCATGGCCAGCTGAATCGAAGCAAGGCTAATAGATTCTGTCAGATTCTTCTACCGAAATCGTGGCCTAACAGAACCTCTCAACTATATTATCTTACTGTCTTTGTCAGATATCTCTGACCCTGAAAATCATGGATAATTATAAGATTTTCGAGGATTATTTACTACAGGACTTTGATTCTGTCTCGACTTTGCTGGCTGAAGGTGATGAAGATGTCAAGATAAGGTTATGTTCACACTATGCTGCGCTGAGACTTAAGCGCTTTTTTCGTTGGGGACAAATGAAAGATTTAGAAGAATCTATTGAAAAGGCAAAACTGGCAGTAGAGAGAACAGCTTACGGGCATAAGCTTTTAGCAGGAAGGCTGAACAACTTAGGGGTTGGGCTTGTGAGCCGATATGAACACACGGGCAAGATAGAGGATCTAGAAGAGGCAATCCTAGTAGCACGACAGACGGTCGAGATCACGCCGGATGGCCATCCTGATCTGGCAGGAAGGCTGAGCAACCTAGGCACCATATTCGGTCGCCAATACAAACACACAGGCAAGATAGAGGATCTAGAAGAGGCAATCCGAGTAGCACAACAGGCGGTCAAGGTCACGTCAGACGACCATCCTAATCTGGCAGGTTGGCTGAGTAACCTAGGAAATAAACTTGAAAGCCGATATGAACGTACGGGCAAGATAAAGGACCTGGAAGAGGCCATCCGAGTAACACGACTGGCGGTCAAGGTCACGTCAGATGATCATCCTGATCTGGCAGGAATGCTGAGCAATCTGGGAATCAAACTTATTCGTCAATATGAACGTACAGGCAAGATAGAGGACCTAGAAGAGGCAATCCGAGTAACACGACAGGCGGTCAAGGTCACGCCGGATGACCATCCTGGTCTGGCAGGAAGGCTAAATAACTTAGGAAACATACTCGGTCGCCAATACAAACATACAGGCAAGATAGAGGATCTGGAAGAGGCAATCCGAGTAACACGAAGGCGGTCAAGGTGTCACGTCAGACGACCATCCTAATCTGGCAGTATTGCTGAACAGCTTGGCACATCATCTCCTATCATCCGGGACCTCTAACAGCCTTGAAGCCTTAAAAGCTCTTACTGGGCGCAGTATGTCCATTTCGGCGCATAATGCAACTGACATCTCCAAGGTCAGAATCCTGAGTCATCAGTGATTGTGTCGCTAACTCAACGTCGAAAAAATGACAGATCATCCATTCGGCTAGCTGCAACATCTTACAGGCCGATTAAAGGCGGAATGCGTTCGGAACGGTTCATTCGCTGCGGCGCATTCGGCGTTTGCGTCTTGGCGGTAATTACGTCATACAAATTGTTAGCAAATCTACCCACCTTGACCATTTGAATAAATATGATGATTTTGCATAGAAATCTACACTATTTATTGACGCTGTTATGACTTCCTTATTAGGAAATGGATATAGAAAAGGTGGTGTTACAGAAATAGCTTTATTCTCTTGTGACCCTGCCCCTGCCCCTGCCCTTGCCTTGCCCTGTACCCTGTTTTGGCACCTGTTCGGCCTCTAACGCCTTCATTGTAGGGGCTCTCTTACGACCAGCTCTCGATTGCGTCATCGCTGCTGGCGCCGTCGAAAGAGGGTGTATAAAAGTCTCATCTATAGTTTCTTCTTCCTCTTCTTTTTCTTCATCCTCAGGGGTTGGGAAGGACTGACGAACCCTTGTGGTGGTAGTAGTGGCAGTGGCGATGGCGACGGCGCCGGCGGCGGGTCCACGAGGGAGGTATCAAGGATGCTCTCTACGTCAACAGGAGCTGTAGAAGGAGGAGGAGGAGGAGGAGGCCCTGCGAGGGGTATTGGCCCTGCTACAAACGAAGCTGCTTGGCGTAAATTAGCCTCCAGACCGAGCAGCAGCCTGTTCTCTATTATTAGCGTCGCATTCTGCTGCCTCAGCTCCTGTCATAAGTCGCTTATTGACCTTATCATGACTCTTAAACTGCCTGCTCCACCCTAGCCTCTTAACAAATATCTGGCATTCGAGTATTAAGGTCATCCTCTTTAAGCTCTTGAGCGAATTGAACAAGACCCTGTTGGGCATTCGTAGCTGCTCGACCGTATCGTGTACGAAAACAGAGCGGCAGAGGAACGAAGAAAACCAGAAAATCGTGCGAGACTCATAAGGATGCATGATCGTTCATTGTCCTTACTATCCAATCCTAAGTTCCTTAAAGCATGTTGGTAACATAGCATATTGTGATGGCAGAGCATGCTGGCGGCGATTCACCAGGTGGTCGACTTCTTTTCGAGGGTAGAGGACGCGTATCTTTGTCAAAGCGTGTAGTAACGATTGTACGTTATTCTCGTGGGCTTGATCAATTAATTATCGAATATCGTAGAAACGTAGTAAATCGGCGACGGTGGAAGGTTCGGCGCAGGAGAGAGGGGGATAGCGGAGGGCGACTCGTCGCGATATCAATAGTTGATGAGAAAACATACCCAAGTTCCTTCCATGTACTCAGGCCAACTACCTGAGCACTTTCGCTTCTCCTTCTCGCCGTCATGAGAAGGAAAATAGTCCCTGTCGCCACGTAGAGGCGACCACCATGATAGGATGCCTAAATTGTAATGATGATGATGATGTTTATTACGCCCGGTAGGAGGCAGAAGTATTGTTAGCACGGCGCTAGTAGCATTTAGTTTTCTGTATCTATCAAAAATTTACATTTTTGAGAGTTTAAAGATATTAGAATATTTAGATTTTTAAGACCTATCGAATAAAACTACTTTCATAATCTCATATCTAATAACTGAGGTTATGCAGATAGAAATGCATTTGAGCACAAATCAACTTTGGTATTCTTTTCTGTCAAGGCTGCAGCAAAATTCTCCCAGTAAATCGATTGTAAGCTCACAGGAACGCTATTCTCAATAAGGCAGGGTCCCATCTTCAGGGACACAAGGGATATCATATCATAAAAATTACATTGCACTATTTTAAAGCTCTGTGGAACCGCTGTGAACTTCCTCTCTTGTCAACAGAGAGCCTTTGGATTTCTTGGAAGTTAACATCCACCTGTGAAGCTCCGTATTCCAACGAGGGATCTCGGGGTCAAAGGTTCTCTCAGATTCGTTAAGAGGGGATGGGAAACCATTCCTGAAGTTGATAGTAGGGAGGTGTACGAAGATGGGAGTACCCGCTTGTAAAAAGGTGACAGCCCCCTCTACACTTATTGTGCTGAACTGCCTTTTTATAAGATCTCCAAACGTGAAAAACATTCCCCTCTTCTTTAATTCCTGTAAGATTGACTCTAGGTCTTAGGAATCACGTATCTGATTATAGAAAACCCACTTATACCCGGTCGGCTCAGTTGAAGATACAAACACAAGACAATGCGGAATCTGAGATTCGGTAGTCTGAAGGCGCTCTAGCAAATATAGAACTTGCTTAATTCCGGTCTGAATTGTGAGGGGATCATCAGGATTCGATGAGATTAGTGATTCTGGTGACTTTCGCTTACGCCTATTCGAAGGCGATGCTTTGTAGGAATCTTTTGGACTACCTGAAGGGGATTGGAAGTCTGTGTTCAGAGACTGCGGAGGCTGTGGACTTCTTGCACCCAGAAAGATAGTAGTGTGCTTAGTAGGATTATGCGAGTTAGTTTCGTCATTTGTAAGAGGTTGGGGCAAAAAAATCTCCTGGGTTTCTCTGGGTAAAGCGGTATTTTCACCAGAGATGGAGGGTTCCTTATTCGTGGGAGATCGGAACAATACAATATCCTGGGCTTCTCTGAGTAAAGTATTATTTTCAGCAGAGACAGAGATGGGGTAACTGATAGAACCTGTCCCTCCACTAAGAAAGAAGGTAGTAAAGTATTTATTACCCTGGGATGCTAAAGACTTAATCATACTGTACATAGACATGATTACCGTAAGACCACCTTTAGTGCTTTGTCCCTGTCCGACTTTGACTTGCTGCACGACAGGTAGGCTTGAGGCATCTTGCATAGGCATGATTGCCACAAGATCACCTTTAGTGCTTTGTCCCTGTCCGACTTTAACTTGCTGCACGATAAGTAGGCTTAGGGTATCTTGCATGGAAACATTCCCGTTATCGTTGTTATCGTCGTTCCTACCATATCCTCTGTAATTGCTGTCATTGTCTAGACACTCAGCCGCAGTTAGCGCATCTCGTATAGAAATCCTATTGCTGTCATTCTTGTTATCGCTATCGTTATAGCTACTGTTGCTGCTATTATTACTACCATCACTGAAATCTTTGCTGTCTTCGTCGTCTTCTCTATCGTCCAGATTCACTATATCGATGTCTTGGTCGGGAATCGATCGAGTACGAGACGTGTCTGATCCTGATGGCGAGATGTCAGGAGAGTAATGTAACGCATTAAGACTACAGGATTGCTCTCCCGGTGACTTGGAATGAAAGCTCTCTGCAAATAGCACAGAGCTCCCAAAGAAAGCGTGAAAAATGTGGCGAAATGTCCTAAACGATGTGATCGTCTGTCTTGGGTTGATCTCAATGTCAGAATAAATATAGTCCAGGAATATAAATCTTTGATTATTGTGGAAGGCTTATTCAAAAACTCGGCTGTAACAACCTTTAATTCGCCACCGCTCCTTAGTATTAATAGTGACCTGAGGACTTGCTTCTTTAGGGAGAGGATTCACGCACATTTCAAGGATTAAATCTCGCCTTAGCAGCTGTTTAATACTGTTGTTCGAGAATCCTAGTTGAAGCGCTAAACGTGCAAGATGACTCTAGCATAAACCTGTTCTTTAAAATATATAATAATACCTTGCTTTTAGCTCGCCCTTATTCTGGCCCTTTCTTAGCCTGATTTCTGTTATATAAGGAAAATAACGCTAAGCAATTAAAATCAATTAACAGTATGCAAACCAAAAGCCAGATCTATTGATGCCTAATTATATATTTATTATTAATTTGGTCGTCTAAATAAGTAACCGCCTGTTCTTAAGACAAGTATATGACTTTCGAAGCTCCTTTTGAAGGGTTCCTTTCGCTTTAGGCAGTAAAAGCTTTTATAAGATTTTCTAACAGGGTTCGAGCTATATAGTGTCTTCTTAAAATGTTCGCAGTAACGGAATAATAGTTTTGATTGCGCAGACCCGTACCTGAATCTGATCTCAGGTTGATGAACTTGTTACAGAAGGAAAAAGTAGCTTTAACTCAAAATATGATTATATGAAAAGTTGATCCTTAGTTGAGTAATATAGCGAATGACCCTTTAAGTATTTAACTGTTTCTAAGTCTAGGTTCTAGGGGCTGACATCACTCAAGATCTCTCCCTAAACATCAGACAGAAATTTAAGGTAGTATGTATATTCCTATATTATTTAGTAAGGACATAAGTTGATAAAAAAGAATAACTGACCTTAAAAAGCTTTATAGGAAGCAGCCGGTAGAAGACACCTAAATGAAACGAATACTACAAGCTACAGTACAGCAAGAGGTTATCAAGGGCTTCTCTAAAGGATGTAAAGATTTCTCCTTCCTGAAACTGCTTTAGATCTCGACTGCAACTCTTACTAAGTTTTGCCCATCACTAATCTGCTTGCTCTCTCTGTTTACTATTTCGCAGGTGACAGATATTTTGGAAGATAGTTCCATGATTGTAAGGCTACTCTCCCTGGTCCGTATATCAAATAAAGTCCCGCTCTCTCCCTGCTAGATCTGTGCCTCTTTAGTAGTGCAGGCCCCTAGAGACGAAGGCTAAACAAACCTTCCTTATAATACAACTCCACTCCCTACTATTGCTTAGCTGGCTCGAGATACCTCTCTGCAGCAGCCAGACGATGTCAACCATGTAAGCATGTCACTACTTCGTTTGTCAAGAGATTCAACCTTGGTAGGTTGGTTAAACGTAGACGTTAAAGATTAATCCGGTTGTGAGAAAGTATGTGATGAATCTAGGACCTGCTAGCGATCACTGGCACATGATTACGTGGTATAAATGGCTTGCAGCCAGAGGGATCCGTCTTGAACTTGTGAATCAGCGTATTGACATGTTGGAAGTCAAGATCTCGGACATCAGGACGCGCCTCAAAGCGTAGATGTCGGATTCGAAGTATACTGATGCCTGCTCAGGCTGGGTGTTTTGAACCTGGAGGTGTTATTGAAAATTGTAACCTTTTTCTAGCGTCATTCCCGTTTTAAGACTTACTATGTAAGTCTCGTAACAAACTAGTAACTTCTTTTACTATATTTATATTAAGCTAGCCGTGGTCAACGATTGGTCACCCCTTGCAGGGGGGGGGGGGGGGGGTGGACAGCGTAATAAGCAGGACAGCGTAATGAGCATTTTTCTATATACATATTACAAGAAGCCTCATACATTGCCTATTAGAGCGTTTTGGATGCTCTCTTGAGGATTGACCATAGGGTTATTCTCTGCGAACCCTCTGGCCAAATATTGACTTCGCAGCTGCTCTGCTTGAAGCGCTATACGTAGTTGATCCTCCCTTACAAGCGCTCGATCAAGCTGATTGCCTCCTTCTTCATCGCGTTGTTTGACCATACTTCGTGCTTCGTGAGCATAGAGAGTGCCCCTCTTTTGTAATTGACGTCGACTTTGACCCTTGCGTTTTTTGCGCTCTTTGGCCGCGGTAGTTGTATCTGTTAGCTGTTATTTTATTTATACTCTATTTTTGGCCTGTGCAAGAGCACCCTTAATAAACTTATCTTGAAGGGATTTGAAACGTCTCGGAGTTGCTTTTTCGAGTTGATCGGCTTGTCTTTGAAGCGTACGAGCGGTATATGGGGTTTTCGGAGCTGACTAAGAGAATTCTGTTGCTCTAGAAGGAGTAGTTGGTCGATTTGGAGGAGGAGGAGGTTGATATTCTTGTACTTTTGATAGTACAACTTGTGGATTGTACGGAACAAGGTCACACTCTCGAAATGAGGATAGAATGGAGTTTCTTTTGAACGTCTCCTTTCGAATACTTGAGATTGCGTGTAGAAATTCGATCTTGCTAAAGTTTGTACATCCCGTACGAGTTGCTTGGTCTACAGCTCTGGCATGAAAATGCTTGTACGGCTGAAATAGTACAACATCAAGCGGTTGAAGGAGATGGCTGGTATGAGGAGGTAGAGCGAAGATATGGATATTCTGCTGCTCGCAGTATTCCAGAATTTCGCGCGTAAAATGGCTTTTGTATTCATCACAAACCAGAATTCGATGAGCACTCTTTTGATACTTCTGAGTTTGAGCATCAAGATGATGAATATACTTGTACGCCAGCTCATTATTATTGTATCCAGATTCTGAGACCCCCAAGAGCACGTCATCTTCAAGATCAGAGAAATGACGCTCTAGATGCGTTTTTGCTGGCAGAATGAGCATCGGTTGAATAACTATACCCCCAGCGCTGACAGCTTCTATAGAGGTCACAAGCTCTCTACAAGTTTCAGAAGCAAGATAGGCTCTTTTGGAAGTCGAAAAGGTCACTATCCACTGACTCTTGCCCATACCAATTCGAAATCCCGTCTCATCAAAAGTCCAAATATCCTCATCCGCGACTCCATACTTCGTACGGAGTTGATGAAAGCGCCTAAACCAGTTCGAAAATACTCTTGGATCATGAGCAAGCTTTCTTTCAAGCTCTAAGGGCTTCTGCTTCATCTTACAAAGCCCAGGATAGCGTTCAAGAAAGCGTTGAGTCCAATGATCACTTACAATAGGCGGTGAATCTTCTCCGGTATAATCCTGCTTCAGAATCGAGTTTGCCGTACTGCGAAGCTGATCTAGGCGTAGGGATTGGCCTATATCGTCCAAATTATGGATATATAGCAAAAGAGCTGCTTCTTGTGCCTCATCCAGCTTGCGATTTGGAGGAATTCGACTTCTTCGAGGCCCTACACCCTTCATTCGTCGTACAACCCTCATTCGATCCACCCCATACTTGCGGGCAACTGCTACAACGCCCACCTTTTCTCCGCGGCCTCGAAGTCGAAAAACCTCCTCAACAGCATTAAACGCCGCTATGTCCAAAGCCTTATTCGAATTGGCCATGTTTTGATGGAGATATTATAGAAATACTACGACGCGTTCAAACGCGTACAAAAATGCTCATTACGCGCCTCCGGCGAGTGGCCCTAGGCAGGGGTACAACCCCGGCCTGGGTAGGGCTCCCCTGCAAGGGGTGACCAATCGTTGACCACGGTTACCTTTTTTAGACGCTCTATTCCTAGACTTTCTATTTTTATCCCCCCTCCAGGAAAATTTCTTTCGACACCCTCCCCACCTCCTCCTTCTCCCCCGGGTTCTCTCGCACGAAACAAGTGTGCTTAATATAACCCTTCCCCAATCCTCTTTACCCTTCACCATCCTTGCTGACATGAGCGGTCTAGACGCAGAGGCGAATCGCCTCATTCGCTGAGCGACTTTTCAGCCGCCCATCCAATCTTTCTGTCCACCAGGCTGCCTTGGAGATCAGGGGTAGAGCTTTCAAGGACTTTCACGCCGCGAATAAATATATTGAAGTACTTAACATTCTATGGAGTAACACTATTCTACCTACAGTCGGGAATCAGATTCTAATTCCCTTTCTCGATTCCTGAAGTCTATTCAACCATCCTTGACTCGGCTTGGATCCTTTTGAGTCTGCCGAATCATCCGAGTCCGTTCCACCTTCATCCTCAGAGCTTTCGCCCGAGTCATCATCGGCATCGCCCGAATCCCAAGCTTCATCCGAGCTATCCGTGTCCTCAGCATCAGAGTCTTCAGCTAAGCTCTCAGTATCAGAGCTGGTGCTTGTGTCTTCGGCAAAGGATTCCTCCCCATCAGATTCTTTCCGTCCCTTTCGCTTCTTTGCCTCTATCTTCAGTCTCTTCAACTCCCTGCTGAGAGATGCGATTTTGTCTTGGAGCCTGGCTTCGTCCTTGCTCTTGGCTGTATTCTGGTGGGATGGCGGAGGCAGCGCCAAAGGGTATGCTGCCTGCAGCATCTTCGGGGGCACTCTCACCGTTGGCTCAATGTCAGCCTGATACCGCTTGATTGCTGTCCAGATGTCTGATGGAGGCTCCTCGCCTCTAGGAGTGATCGCTTTCGCGAGATGGAAATCGGCATTTTCGACGCCAAAAACTTTCTGCAACTGTGTCCGCCAGATGACCGCCTTCTTTTTGTCCTGGCCCTCGAACCAATATACCTCGCAGGCCATAGGTGGATAGCGACTTGGGGAGGGTCCACATTTGCTGATGGCCAGCCAACATATGCCATGTTTCATGTGGGGCAGTTTGCGACGATCAGGTATGGTATCGAAATTCTGCCCAATCGCTCCGGACTGCTTAATTCTGTCCGGCAACATCTCCCATATCTCTGGCCCACCACAGGCCCCTTTTGGTTGCAACGCGCAACAACTGCCTCCCTTTTTGATCACGTAGTTGCGTGTTGTTCGTTTGTATCGGGTTCCAGAGTCTGAGATCTCTTGTCGTTCTACTTTTCCAAAGGCGATGATCTTGTCGCCTGAGCTGGTATAACCGGGTCTGAATGTCCGTTCTTGCTTCGTGCTGGAGGCCCAGATTTGAAAGCTCTTTCCAAGACGAGACTGAGACGAGTATGGGTTGATGGGTACAAGGGCTTGTGAGGTATGATCCTCCTTTGCACTTGTTTTTTTCTTTATGCTTGCTTCTTTCTTCGGGTGTGCTTTCTGAATCTGCTTCGCGTGACTTTTTGGGTTGCCCCCGGGCTCGTTATATGCCCCCGACATTACATACTCACCTTCAGGGTCCCACATCTCAACATCACTGTCTACATCACTGTCATCTGGTATCACCGGGTTTCCGTTCTTGACTGATGGACGCTTTTTGGATTGTGTTTCTTTATCCACTGCAACATGCTTTGCTGTAGACTTTTGCGTCTTCTTTCCTCCGCTCTTCTTCGTCTGTGTACCCCCCATTCTTTTTCCTGTCTTCGGATCAAGACCTGTTCGTTCTCGATACTCTTCTTCTATGTCGACAACTTTGGGGTACACTCCTCCTTTTTGGGGCGGAAGCTTGCAATATCCATCTGCAAACTGGTATCGTGCCCATAACGCTTTCAGGCACATCTCGGCGCTGAGCTGGTCCATCTCACCTTTCTTATATTGCCTCCAGATATGCGTGATGTTTGCGACCGGTAGCTGCCCAAGGTTTGCAGGAAGGCCTTTCTCCACATTTTCCGTCGCAATCTGCGGCACTTGTTGAAAGAGAAGCCTTTCCTTACTTGATGGGCGGCTGTTGTTTGGATCAAGCTCGTCCCAGATTTCTTTCATGATTGGAAACCAGACCTGCTGCTGGTATTTTCTATGTCCTTTGAGTATGAGAACAGCATTGCACGGCTGTTCTGAGTTTTCATCCGCAGCCTCATAGTCGTTCATTGATATGTCAGGTGGCCCATCGGCCCACGCGTTCATTGCAAATTGTCCAGTGTTGTTCTTCCCAAAAATCTCCTCCTCAGCCCTACCGAGATCCTGTAAGGGGGCCTTCGCCTTCCCATCAGCCTTGTTATTGCAGTCTGTGTTATGTCAGTGATACTACAGAGCATATTCCTCACTGGTGACCCACTTTGAAAAGCTGCCGTAGCCAACTTCACCAACTCCTGCTCGGCGGCGTCATCTACCATTAAACCACATTTTCTTGATTCCTCAATCCGACGCCTTATCCTGTCCGGGTGAAACTGATATCCGATGCCTTTTCGACCTTCGAGTTTCCATTTTGGATGTGAGACATCCCAGACTTCGGCGTCACCAATCAACTTAGCTATTTTGCCGGGCGTGGGACTTTTCACTTTCCCAAGCTGCTGCATCAATATTGGGAGCTTTGACAACTGGTCTTCGGAGAACGGCCATTGTGCGGGGTCTGTATCTCTCTTTTGCTTTTCGCTCCAGCCTGGAGGCCAGTTGTCATCGGATATTGGGTTTTCCGGTCTGGAGTCATTGTCTGCATCTGACACTCTTGCCTGTTGCGCTTTGCTTTCCTTGCTAACATCTGCAATTGTTGCCTGTTTCGATTCCTTCTGCTTACTATGGTCTTCTGGCTCGGTCGTCTTACCTCGCTTCGCTCTCTTGTTCTTTGGCATTATTTTTTCTATGAATATGATTGTAAATATTTGATTGCACTTATCAAGATATTTATGGAAAGTAAAGCTCTATTTGTAGGCGAGAAGGTAAGGGTAAAAGTCTTCGAGGTAGGGACAATCTCTTTTTAGATGTTATAAAAATAGTAAAAAATATTCTATTTTTTATTCTTGTTTTTTAACCCCTCCTCCCTCTTTTTCCCTCTCTTTCTCCTCCCCTCTTTATTCTTACTCCCTCTCTCCCCTGTGTCCCCTCCTCTTCTTCCTTTCTGGATCTCTCCTTACTCCCTTGTCTCGGAAGAGGGGAGGAGAGGAGGTGAGAGGAGGTGAGAGGAGGGGGAAAAAGGGGGTGGAGGAAGAAAGGGGAGGGGAAAAAAGGAGGTGGACGAGGAATGTTTGGGATGATGGAAGATACGGAGGGGTTTTTCGACTGGAGTGGATAGGCGAGGAGCTTTAATCTGCGGGAAAGGGAAGGGCGGGGTTAAGACGGGTGGATAAAAGACGAATTTATTTGCTTTCACTTTGACAAATGAAATAATAAATCGTAAGACATAATCGTCTTAGTCCTGTGACGATAGACCGAGGTATATAAAAGTGTTATAGAGGGACCTGAACATATACTTTTAATTAATCAAAATTTCAAACTCTGCCAATCTCCTAACTATCTTAAAGCCTAAAATATGCAATTCAAAGTATTGTGTGTGTGCTTGACGTTGTTGCATGGATTTGCGATTGCCGGCTCAATCAGGTCCGTCACAATCAGGGCTCCGTGGTCGCACTCATGCTCACCTTGATCCAGGTCCACAGCCGTTGTTGCCGATGGTGTCTCAATAGGGCTTATCATCAGCGCGGAAGCTCTGACTACGTCGGTAACTTCAAATTCTTTGCTAGACTTGCAGGTCTTATCCGTTGCCAGCACTGCTACGTTCAATATTTCATCAGCCCCTGCTCCCACGGTGGCGCCCCAAACAATACCTAATGCAGGATCTACCTTCCCTCTGGCACCTTTAATGACCGGAAGAGACAATGAGACCATCAATGCAGGGCTTGAGACCCGGAGTCACAGCGAAAACTGGGTTAGTCTGCATGCGGCAACCTCGGCTGTGGCATCGTTCACCCAAACGGGTTCTCCAGCAAAGGTAACCCATTATGTTGAAGTTGGTCCTTTTGGAAAGCTGTTTTTCCTACCCAATCAAGTCAATGCAGAAGTCGGAGATGCTGTCGAATTCAGATTTCGCTCTTTCAACCACACATTGACACAGTCAAGCCTTGAAGAGCCATGCATTTCTAGCAATCAATTGGACTCTGGCTTTCGACAGTTTAATCCCTCTGATAGCCCGTTCAAGACTCTCTCATTCAGCGTAAATGATCCAAATCCTCAATATTTCTTCTGTCACCAAGAGATCCCCACAAACCATTGTCGAAGAGGAATGGTGTTTGCAATCAATCCAGGAGAGAGCATGCAAAAGTTTTTGGAGAATGTCGAGACATCAGCAACCAATTCTGCTGTTCCTTCACAAGGCTTTTCGTCTGCACTCTGGATAAACACCACGAACGGCGCATTGGCTACACCAGTTGTCATGCGATCTATCGGTTTTTGATTCTGTGTATGGCTCGTAGTTTTTGAAGACTGAAGACTATTTTGGGGTAGGTAAAAGTTGTGTAGGGGTCATCAGCGCTTAGCTCTGGTCTATACTTAGTCTAGCAAGCAATCGTCCGCGGTCATGTCACTAGGTAGCTGGTCTACAGATTAGTTTAGAAACAGGTTATTTATACAGAACTTGTCACACTTTAGATCCCCGCAGCGTCATGCAATCTAGAGTCAGCCTGGTAAGTAAGCTAGAGAACGATGTAAGCTACCCCTTGCAGTCGTCACACCTCTGTGCTTTCAGACCCTCTTGGTATGTGAACGCTAGTTCGGTATAGTGGAAACCTTTTGTTGACCTTCTGAGAGGGCTAATTGGCC